ATAAAGCATTGCATATTTTTGTGAACGAAGGACTTATTAATAACAACGTCAAAGTACTGTACACATTTATAGGCGTTGAAGAATTTCCGCTCTCCGTTATAATATGTTATAAAGATCGTATCCAGCCATCCGGAGAAGCAACTCGTCAACAGTAATAATAAAAACAAAATATTTAACTACTAAAGACTTTCTTGAGCGTATCACACAGTCGAAAACACTTTTGGTATGCCATCATTAAAACGGAGAGAATAATATAATGAAAATAATATTCAAAATGTTTTTGCAATATTATCACAAGGGCGATACGGAGATACAGCGGATAGTTTGGTTGTTTATTTTCTTAATTTGGTCAATCTTACTTTTTTTTTCAACATATGCCTACACAGGGCTAGTGTGTTACCTAGGTATACCTTAACTTAACATATGGTGGATAGGCTTCCAATTGGACAATAATATGTTTAGATGTGAATTACATATTTGAATCGTGTTATACACTGTGCAATATTTTACACTCAGCACTTTTCATATAATTCAGATCAATATGATATGACGGGTTTGTTGAAAAAAAAATATTTTTTTTCTCATCAAATGAAACAAATAAGGTTTATTATAATTTGTTCAAACGAGTAGGTAAATATATACATTTGTATTAATATTTGAAACAGTTTTTTCAAAAAGAATTTATTTATTTAGTTACAAGTGTATCCTTTTATATTGGCAATGGGTCGAAGTATTTAAATGCAATCAGTACAAAATCACTCTTTACTCTCATAAAATATTGAATTTGCCTTGCGACAATTAATCGAACAAAGATTAATAAAATAATATTCTTTGTAACTTCATACAATTATGCCGTGTTGGAATCGTATAAATGAATACAACTATCATAATAAACACGCCCACCAATAATAAATAAAAACCTCCGAACGGAGAATGGATAAAATGGCCTCCTGAGACCTCTATATCCTTTTTTTTTTTTAACAAAGAAATGATTCGGTTTTTTGTTAATTGTACTATTTTATTTAAGATTACTGTTCATTTAATTGAATAAAAATATTTATAAAAATAATATTATATTTGTATAATATGTGAAAATTATATGCGTATAGTTACCATACATTTTAAAACTGATTGAATTATATTTCAATCAAATAGGTATTATGCGCCTTAATTGTTATGTCCAGTAGCCAATTAAATATATTCATGTATAGAGGTACACCTATATGTTAAAATAATAATTATTATACTATAAAATGTATATAGATAGGTAAAGATTCAGAATAACCCATCAATAGCGTAACTAAAAAAAATAATAACATACAGGTTTTATGTTTTAATAAATCGAATTATAATGAAAAATATTAATACGCATACAAAGACCAGGTGTGCTCTGAATCTAAAATATAATATTTTAAATAAAAATATACTAAATAAATATTATATTGTGTGATAGAAAAATATAATTTTGTTTTATTTACACGGACGTATTGGTCTGTATTGATTCCTATTGTTAGTATAGGTATATTTATTGGTTGTACAATATTATTATGTGTGTCAGTGTGTTTTATGTCCGCTTTAGGAGCAGTAAAAATTTGGTATAATCTTCATCATAGATGGTGGTTTAGGGCCGAAAATTAGATGTGATTGGTTATAATTGCATCTAACTTAAAAATTACCATTGATTAAAAAAATTATTAAATTTTCAAAACATTTTTCATTTATTTATTTTTTATTTTAGAACTCTCCACGCACAACTATTAAAGTTAAAATGTTGTACATTTGTAATTCACAATTTAGTTAGGAATAAAGTGAACATAGTAAAGATTTAATCGTTTATCTATTTAAGTTCTATAAGTAAAGGTTGATAGTATTATAATTTAGTGCCTATTTTTTTGATTAGGAATGGGCCGAATGCGCCTTTGAGTTATTACACCGATCCTTGGTAGGTAGTATAATCTATAATCTATTCATTTTCGCTTTTCGGCTGTTACCAACATGGTTCAAAACTTTCAATTTTAACGCATTTTTATTTACATTTAATGAATACCAAAAAAAACTATTTTTTTCAGATTTATGTTGTATAGTAGCATTACTTATTTACCCATAACTTAATTGAACGGGCAGTGCAGGTGTGACAAATTAATGATAATAATTAATTACCTAAGCAATTATATAAAACCTTCGCTACTTAAATTCTAATTGTTTTAATATTCAATATTAATTTAAAGTCTGTAATTTGACTTAGTTGTAATCCGAACCCCAACTTTTAATAAACTTCAATATTATTCCTTCGATTCTTATTGATGAAGTTGTTCATCATTGTATTATAAAACTTTAGATACCATACCATATTTTATATTTTATCTATTTTTTATTTTTATTTGTTAATATAATTTGAAAAACTACTTGTTCAGGCATAAATAAATAAAATATAATAATAAAAATAATTAACGTTTACAAATGTTTATGTGAATATAAATTCTTTTTGATTTTATTATAATTATACATAATATAATTTTTAACTCTATTTAAACAGTTTAGTTTGATAACTTAAGCCACTATTAAGCTCAAATTAACAAAATTATGCAAAATTGTAGGATCATATAGTATTGTAATACAGTAAAACGAGAAACGACTATGTAAGAAAAAGTTTAATACGAAAAATGGAGGTTGATAAATTGAAGTGTAAAGTTAAGGTGTATGCCCCCAATGTAGGAAGATGGTTGGTAGTTTCCCACATTGTTACCTTATCCTCGATCCTATCGAAAAGTATCAGGACCCGAGAATTGATCGGAACAATCACATAAAATAGAATTGCTTTAATTATTAATTAATAATTAATTATTTATATGAGAATATGTTATACTTCATAAATATGTACATGTATTTTTATATTAGTAACCTAAATTGGATACGCACTCCAATTGGGTTAGAATGTTAGATAAACTAACATAATATTTCATTTTTAATTTATTTGCACGCGTCTGTAAGAGTTAGCCTTTTGCATTACGCCCTCCACCGTTCATTTGTCACTCACCACCTCTTTAAGGACTCGAGAGAGCTTAAGAATTATTCTATATTAGTTAATTACCTGATATTACAATATATCTATACCTCATATAATATAGACTATTTTATTTTATCAGTCATTGAATTGGATACGTATTCCAAAATTTGATGAAAATAACATTTTTTTTTATTACATTATAATTGTTTATATAAGGATATAAAATATTAATATTATGTTTATCTTACATAATTATGTGCATCTATATTTTTATATTGTCACCTGAATTAGATATATGTTTCAATTAGGTTATATAAAATTGTAAAAGAATACAGTATTTCGTTTGTAATACAATGATAGCTTACCTTCACAAGTCTGTGAGATCGTTAATTCAATATGGCAATATGTCGTCCACCGTTCACTTGGTATTAACCATAGTTAAGAGCTTGAGAACAAGACTTATTTCATTATTATTATATAAAACTATAATATAAAAGGAAATAGATTTAGGGAATAAAAATGAAAAAAATAAAAATAAAGACAATTAATAATAAGTTAGTAAGTTTAAGAGCCGGAGGCATCCACTGTTGATGGAATCGATCACGCGATTCTGGCCGAGTTCTTTGCGCCAAAAAAATATAATTTTAGGAGGCAAGTCGATGCTCAGAGAGATCCACAAGAAAGCTACCTAACCTTAAGAGTCACATTCTTTCTATATTTCTAAACTAAAATTGATACCTTGTTTTTATGTCGGCAAATTTGTTACGGACACTTTGAGTGTGGTTGGTGTGATTGTTTGGAAACGTTGTAAGTACTCGATTTTGGACTTGTAGCTTTACGCCTTTACGATATTTATTCACATATTCGGGGGAATTGTGTTAAATATACATGTGGATACTATGGTTAGATTATTAATATTATAATTTTGCTATAAAATATATATTGAACAGCATTAAGTTCCATTATTTTTTAAAACTTATAGGTTGTGGAAACGCAAATCATTACATAATCCTGTTTAAGCAGAACGAAGTATTACAAGTTGTGGCAAAGTTATAAATATTAAATTGTACTCTCTGCTTTTGGACATTGATTTAGAATTGTAGAAAACTAGTAACCATGTACTTAATTATTGGGATTGTCAGTTAGTAACTAAACAAGTACCTAAATACAATGTTATATATCATTAAAAACATGAACACGACCATTTCACGTGAACTTTGTTGGTTAGAAAAGGTTATGTTATAACATCGTTACTTAGTCGGATGGAAATGTATAAACATTTTTATCATTAGGTAATATGATTGGTTTTTGTGTGCAAATTATTATTGACCATGGAAGTTGCTCTTAATCCTACTAATATCATATTTTATTCATATATATTTTTTTTTTATACGAGCTGACTAACCTGGATACGTATTATAACAAGAAGTTGATTAAGAAAATAAAAATTTTGTAAACATGAATAAAAATAAAAATAATGCAAATTGTTTTTAGTTTAAAATTTATAAAATTTTCAATTTATATAATATGCTTGTAAATGTAATACAAGTAGACAGTAGTTCATGTTACAACTAAAAAATAACTAATCAGTTTAGGTTAATAGGCAGGCATGGAATGTTTTTTGCACAAATAAAATACTAAACCTATCTATTATTACTAATCGAAATATTTATAATGTATAATATATTCTAGGCTTCCATACCTCTTCCACTCATCGGTTTTTTGTACTCAATCGGAAATCATTGAATTAAAATATTTAACACACCTTAAAGTTACATAAAATCCAATAAAATGTGTGGACTCTGTGGAACTAAAATAACTAAATAAACAAATCTTCATTTATTATTGTGAAACAACTAAACGGAAAAAAGAACACGTGATTTTAATATGATAACCCAGCATCTGTGAAACCAGCCCTTAGATATATATTTGAGATCCACTTGTATGCGTCAGCCTGTGTACCACAAATATACAAACATCGTACATGTACCTACTATTTTTGTCCTTCATGTGTCCTCTTGTGCTTAGTCAAACTGTAGTTATTACCAAACCACTTGTCGCAAACATCACATGGGTATGTATACGTTTTCTCTGCCATGTGCGTCCGCCGGTGCTTTGTTAAACCTCCATTTTGACTGAACGACTTGTCGCATATGTCACACGGGTAAGGTTTCTCTCCCGTGTGCGTTCGTCGATGCTCTATTAAGCCACTATTTCGACTGAACGACTTGTTGCATACGTCACATGGGTAAGGTTTCTCTCCCGTGTGCGTCCGTCGATGTTGTATTAAACAACCATTTCTACTGAACGACTTGTCGCATATGTCACATGGGTAAGGTTTCTCTCCCGTGTGCGTCCGTCGATGCTGTATTAAACCACCTTTTCGACTGAACGACTTGTCGCAAACATCACATGGGTACGGTTTCTCTCCAGTGTGTACCCGTTTGTGCGCTTTCAGTTGGCTAATTTGACTAAAATACTTGTCGCATATGTCACACAGATAAGGTTTTTCTCCTGTGTGTACCCGTTTGTGTACTGTCAGTTGGCTAATTTGTTTAAAACGCTTGTCGCATATGTCACACGGGTAAGGTTTCTCTCCCGTGTGGGTCCACCGGTGCATTGTTAAATTTCTTCTCTGACTGAAGGACTTGTCGCAAACATCACATGTGTACTGACTATCGCGAACTTTAGTCATCTGAATACAAGTCAGATCATTCATTTAAATACTTTTAGTCAATGTCCTTGCTGTTTTCACTCATATTTTATACGGTTTTAGTAAATAATAGTTGCACCAATTATAGATTTACAATTTACAACTTAATTGATTTATGCATGTAATAACAAACTAGTTTTTCTTTAAAAATTACGTGGTTACAAGACCATTATGTTTATGGTCTACTAGATTTAGCGCCAACGCCAAGATTTTAAGCCAGTGTTTGTTATATTATTATTCAACGGCATTATTAGATTAAAATGAAGTAAGACATTAAAATAAATAACAATATTTAATATGATGAACTTTCGAAATGGTCATAATTTATAAGTTAAAAATGTTTTATGTAAAGGGAGATCAAGTGTTCCAACATTTGAAATAATACATTATAAGATTTCATCGCACTATTGTGTCGATGTTCATGAAAATGACGAGTGTATCACGTAGGCCATATTGAATCTGATAAAACGTCGATTATCATTGAATCTTCCGATCGGTGGTTAGAAAACATTGGTGTTGTTATATGAGTAGTTATTACAGTTTCTTTGATATATTTCAAATGTGTTATCGATTCTTTTGATAAATATAATGCATGCTGTTTAATTTTTCAGACATTCGAATTTACCGTGCTACCTCCAATCATCGAGATGTGATCACAAGCGGTCGTCTGCCGAGTTCGTAAACCAATCACACTTATTAGTCGTTACCTCGGTCCTGGTAACGACGCTGTTGTTGTCACCGCCACCGCTGTAGCGGCGGCCGACACCGTTATACAGTATGAAACGCGGTTCGGACTCTATGTTCGTCGTCCCTACTTTTGGTGCGTATAGATAAATTTTAGTCGATTAGATGGTAGGCATAATATTATATGATATTAAATTGCTATTTGATACAAAAAATTAATATTTGTTAAATTATAGATTATATAGTATAGTTTGAACCTTAAATATTTAACAATCATGTAAACTAAAATAAGTATGTACTGTACATTATGATAATAGTTCAAATGCAATTTTTTGTTTTAATTTAGGAAATAAGAAAAGACGCAATCACTCCTTATGTGATCCATGAACTAATAAAAAAAGTAGATACATTTTTTTTTAAACTGAATGAAGTTAATATTTTTGTCCATATTAAGCTTTAATTTATAGAATTAAATTTATGATTTGTTAACTGTTTGAGTTAGGTTTGTCGATCTCATGGTATTCTATCTTTTAACTTAATTTGAGTTCATTATTTTCATTAACTTGCCAAACTTTGTGCAAAAGTACAATATATAGTGTGTATTCTTCAATTGGACATATTTTAGAGCTTAAGGCTCAGGCCTTAATAGTTAACAGATAATAAAAAGTTATTACTTTGAAAATGAAAACCGTTCAAAAATAGAAAACTTCAAAAAGTTTTTGAAACAGAAATCAAAACCTGAATATTTATAAAACAGTTCTCAAAACCTAAACCAAAACCTTTAAAATTTGAAACAGTTTCAATCCCTGACTAAAACGATTCTGAAAATACTATACTCAGGCCATTGAGAGAGCGCTTCCGTATAGTGGGAATCTGCAAAATGCCGGCTGGTAAAATGGAAATCCCAGAAAGTGCCGGGTGGCAGGTAAAGTAGAAATACTAAAAAGTGCTGGGCGTATCATCTGCACAACCAAACACTGAAATCTATACAACGGTCCTTAAAAAAGACAAACTTTTGGTTGCGTTTTATATTCATATTATAACTTCTGTGTATGACGCCTACCTAAACATTTTTCTTTCATTTCATTGTTTTCGTAGAACAGTCAGGCTTTTGAATAGATCCCTGAATTACATTTGCCATGATCGATGAATGCAGAAGTATGACGGAAAATAGTTTTTGAATTAGGTCATTTCTCACAAAAGTTTATTGCATGGATGATTTTCACATGAATTCTCACAATTTTTTTACTCAAGATTTAATCATACAATATTTAAAAAATGTACAACCGAAGTGTATCGCCGAACAACAAGAAAAAAAAAAGTACAGTATAGCCACCAGCCTATTATTTATTATTAATTGTACATTACTTTTGGTATATTTTAAAGATATTTGTTTCCAATTTTTGTATGATAAGACTTATAAAACAAAATTAAATGAAATAACAAATTTAGACTCGGGAATAATTTCGGGGACCTGTATTGTCTGCCGATGGTAAGCTCTCGGGCATACTTCAGTAGCAAGTACCCGAAGCGTATATGTAAACTCTCCCGGGTCTACTTCAATGGTAAATGAATTTTATATGTAAACTCTCTGCCTGTAATAATATTTTCTTTTGTATATTACGGTTGTGTCATTAAATAAAATATGATACGAACATTGAACATATATATTTTTTTTTAAGTAAAGTATATGAATTACGTATAATTAATAATAATCAATTTCTTAGACTGTGAATTATAATTGATGATGTTGACCCGCTTTGCTCTCAATCGAAAAAAATTACTAGTCGTAAAAACCGAGAAAGTTTACCACCTCCCATAGTTTTAAAGTGAATGTATCCTTTGAAGAGGCACCTATGGTGTTGTTCATTGGTTCTTTTATTATTATATTTTCGCTAATAATTTAACAATTTGATATATTCTTGATATTTATCTCCACGCTTAAATGTATATAAATAAATAGGTTTCGTTTACTATGTTCGTAATTTACCTGCTTAAATTAAACTATAAAGACGTAGACATATTTCAAGTTTATATAACATATTCCTATTGTCTTGTTAATATTATTTAAATTTTTCCTATTTCAATTGAAGATTTATGAATACTGCGGTACCTATACATTTTTTCTCTTTTCGATTTGAGTTTCAGTTTGGATATCGATTTCGGCTTTTAAAAGTAAGTTGTAGTTTTACTGGTTTCAAGCTCTGGCTTATTGGAACCGAAGGCTTTTCTTATGCAATATCGTTTCTACATAGCTCCGACATACAGGTTAGGCGGAATAGTGTAGCTCTGGTTTGCAATAAACAGACTTCTAGTTGTAATTTTTATATTGATTAAGTCTATACCGTTACATATATTATTTATCATTATAGTTGTTGTATCTTCGTGTCACTTAACCATTATTATTTATGATGTTACAAAATAAGTTTGTCGGAGTAGTTTATCACAATAAAAACGAAAACATTTTATTTTTGATACACTGAATTGCTTAGCATTATTAACTATAAAACAATACATTTTTTATTTGGACTAAGAATTAATATTATATTTGTTTCAAATTAAAAAAATATAATAAAACATTACAAAATGAAGTTAATTTAGTTTTCGTATTACTTTAAGTTTTATTAAAACTATTATAAGAAATTGTTCATATAATAAAAATTAAATGAATATCTCAATTTGTTTTTCTTTATAAAACTCCAAGAACGTAATTTTGTATTATTATTCGTTTAAAGTTAAACGAACTATTTTTTTTTTGTTTATAAAGAAAATATAAAAGAAAATAATATTTTTATAATTTATACAATATCAGTTTCATTAAAAAAAAAGGTACATAAGTTACCTATAAAAATTTAAATTTTGAATCACTTATTTTTATTATGTACTTCATCATACTTAGGTCGTAATTTAAATAAATATGTCCATGTTTAAATTCTTTAAAATTGTTGATATTGAAAAATATTTCAAAATGAAAATAATGATAAGTAGTTACCTAGTAAATAATTTCCATATTTTTAAAAATAAAAACACATAGGTGGGTACATTTCCACATAGATGACAAAAAATTCAAAGCATTTTGTATAAAAATGATACAAATATACAATTCATTAGCATATATTTAACATATACATATAAGAGAGTAAATGGATCCTTTGTCACTGTTTCTTCTTTTGGTCGAGAAAATGAAAAGAGTACCTATCTACTTTTAATATTGAGGTATTAGGTAAGAAAAGAGCACACAATATATGAGTATATGAGCAAACATGAAACTACAATATTTTGTTATAATAATAAGTCTAACATAAAATGGAGATACGTCAATGCATAATGTATATTCGCCATAATTAATTCCCATGGGATGAGGTCAGATGTGGTTTACCGTATTACTTCATAATTAATGATATCGAAGATAATAAAACGGGACTCAATTTTTTTATTCTTATACTCCATATGTAATTTTAATTTAGTTCGGATGAAAAGTAATCGTTATTATGTTTTTTCATTCAAATATGTGTTTTATGAAAAAACAAAATCCTTAAAGCCATCTGAAATAGGTTTCATAACTATAATATATTGGTGGTCTTAGGCAGATCGCCTGTCGTCGTCGGTTCAAATTCAAAGCGAGAAGAAATATTGGAGGGTGGAGAAACTGTGTACTTATTCATATTATAACAATATAACTTCATATATTATATATACGAATCCTTCCCAGTATACCATTATATTTTTTCTTCGTGATTTGAAAATGTTGTAAATTTATCTCAGTAATAATACAAACAGCGGTTGTAAATGTAATTTTGAAATTTGTAAGCCGTCAAAAAGTGTATAGAGTTAGAAATATGTAGGTACACTACAAGAATATTTATGGGGTGGAGGTTAGTAGTACTTAATCTCAGGACAAGATCATCACGTAAATATCCCTCCAATGTTTGTCAAAGTGACTGGTCACTTACCGTATAAATAATGTAACTGGTAATTTTTTGCTTTAAAAGATTAGTTATGGCTTATACAAATTTAAATCTGTATAAAAATAGAAGGAAGTGTGAGGCCACGGGGAATGCAAAATCAAACGAATTCAACAGCTTACCTTTTATAATGTTCGTTCTATTGTTGTACAACGATAATGGTTATAATTTTTTGAATAAGTTGAATGGAGGCCGTTATACAATGAGTAGGTATGGATATACAATAAAATATAGTAGCTAGTAGTAGGTAATGTTAATACTTTAGCAATAACTAAAAGTCGTCAAACGGTCTTGATATTTTAGACTTGATGCTCGCGACTTTTACAAATGCAAAAACATTTTTATTCATGTATTTTT